GTTGACAATGAAAGGGGGGGGGGCATGCGGCAATCTGGACGCAACGCTGACGCGGCGGGACTGACGCGCAGCAGAGCTCACAGCACGGAGGCCAGCGAATGCGCCGTGGCTGTCATTGGCTGATGCAGGCGAGCCCAGAACCCGAGGCGGTCCCAGTGGACCCACCAGGAAGCTGTACCCCAGCATCGATGGGACCATGGCCACGGCCCAGGTGATGCAGGCGTTGGCGATGGACACCACGACGGGCCACCCCAGCATGTTGCTGGGATCGAGGGAGCCGGGTGCGGAGGGGGAAAGGGGAGATGAGGCCAATGCCAGGGTGGGGCTGCCACATTGGGGGAATGCCAATGAAAGGAAGCTGCATTGATAAACCGGCAGAAAGATCCTTGCACCCCCTGCAACCCTGGTCTGCAGTCTCCATCCCATCTGTACACACGTGGGAGCAGCGGCTGCGGGGCTGCCACGCTGAGCCCAACAACAGGCATGCACACGAGCTGCACCGCCTCACGGCGCCCACCTCAGCGGGTTGTCGTCAGGGTCTGGCACTGCCTTGTAGTCCCCCAGCGCCGCGCCGGCCAGGATCCAGCTGAACACTGCGATCGCCGCCAGGTAAGGCAGCTCCCCCACAGGGACGCGCTCGGACGCCACCTGGCGGGCACACGCAGGGCGGGGAGGGGGGGTCGCGTGCTGCTGGGAGCCGGCGCTGGCGAGAGAACACGGGATGCTGCGTGAGCTGATCGGCAGCAGCATGCACCAGGGGCGTTGCAGGGCGTCGGCGTGGCGCCCACCGCTGCGGCAGCGGAGCGCGTTGCTTCCGTCGCACCTCGGTGGCGAGCACCATCACAGCGTCCCCCAGGATGAGCGTGCCGTCCACGAGGCGGTTGAGCCCTGGCGTGTCGCGCATGAACTCCTCCAGCTGCGTCATGCCCGACGCGCGCTGCTGCTGCCGCCGCCGCTCGTGCCACCATGCCTGGCCGGGGCCCTGCTGCTTTGCCGGCCGCTGCTGCTGCCGCTGCTCCGCGCCTGGCGGCCGCTCAGTTGGCTGCGAGGGCTGGGTCAAGGACGCCGCCGCGGCATCCTCTCGCTCAAGTTGCTGCTGGGGCTGCTGGCGCCGCTTTTGACTCGCCTCGCTCATCGTGGATTGAGGCGACCTGCTGCTCTGCGCCCCGCAGAGTACCCGAACGCGGCTCGGCAGTGCTGGCAAGCCAGCGCAGCGCAGAGCGGTGGCATTGCGTGCAGCGCCGCTGCAATTGCCTGAGCCCCGCATTTCAAACATATGGTATTGACTTGACGGTGTGGCTACCAGATGCGAAGCTGGGGGAGTTGGCAGGCCCCAGCAAGCGTTTAGCTAGGCGGGAGAACGAGCAGATCAGGCGTCCCCCTCAGCTACGACAGCAACACGGTTTTCTGTAATGCGTGATGATGATAACTTGTAGCCGGTGGTGAGAACTTTCAAAAGCGCGGTGGCAAGGTGGCAAGCTGGCAACGTCGATAGGGCTCAATCAAACGTAAAAAAGCGCGCTACTGTAGATAAGCAAACGAAGTGCATGTAATGCTGGATGATGACCATTCATATGATAGCTACAGTACCCGCAATTTCATGGCCCAAGCGATGCTGGCTGTCCAGATCTATCAGATTCCAGCTTGGCAGTCATGTACGTAAACAGCGCCCATCATCTCCCCGATTTTCGTATAGTAGATCCATGCATGAAGCCATATCGCTGGGCTTCTCACAAGCCCGCCTGCGTCGAGACATCCGTGAATTCAGGGCTGCTTTCACTGCAGCGTGCTCAGCAGCACTGCCTGAAGCCGCACTCAACAACTTGCCAGTATACGTGTGCCTATTGTTGTATTGCTACTCGTCTTCATACATGGGGTCATGAGGGTTCTTGTAATCTGGGTGTTCATAGCACAGTACCAGCTGCGACCATCAAACCAACTGCGGCCTTGGTCTGTTGTTGAGGCCCACGGCAGTGGGACGAACGGCCCTTCAGGCAGTTCAACCACGCTCAGCGCCTGTGCCACACAGTCGCATCATCTTGCAGACCAACGGTGTGGTCCAACACACACGGCCTAGACTTTGACCTCGTTTGACTGACCTCACTGGTGGCTGCAGGCGCATACATGGGGCTCATAACATTTGCTCACATTAACGCAAGCCTGGACGCAGCCCTAGGGTATGGGTTTCGTGGACCTGGCGTTCAGCTAGTACCAACAAATGCTGGGTGGGGCCCGTCAGCGCGCTGCGCCACGGGGCTTGGCACCAGAACGTGTATAATGTAAACATTTACGTCTGATCAGCGTTCACGGTGGCGGATGCGCAAGAGTCGGATCACCAGTGCCTGCAAGCCTACCGCACTCGCCACTGCTCCGCGCGATCTTATTTCAGCCCTTTGATCGAGCGCGGGATCGTTCTAATGACATTTGTATGAATGTTAATGTAGGAATAAACGCATCACATCGGGTCCAGTGACCGCGAAACCGCAAATAAAACCTCTGCAGCAGCCCCACCGAGCAGCACCATGCTCCCATCTAGCGAACTCGGACGCCACAGTGATTTGGGAACTCCGAGAAAGCGTGCCACGGGCGGTGGCAGCAGCTACTCGGGCAGCAGCACCAGCGGCACAGGCAGCGATGCGTGCCGTTCGTCGAAGCCGTCTGGTTTGCGTCGCAGCACCAACGGCGGCTCTGCACAGAAGCGCAGGCTGCTCATCCTCGGCGCCATTGGCGGTGTCGTGGTCGCGGCCGTCCTGATCGGCGTGCTGGCGTGGGCCATCCCCAACGCGCGCAGCGGGTCGGCTGTCACTGCGCCTCCCGCCAGTGCGCCCGCCTCCGCATCAGATGCCGCAAAGCCGGCTGCCAAGGCGGCCGCCCTGCTGGACTCCGCCTACTGCAGCGGGCTGCCTGTGATGGCTCAGATGTACTGCAATTCCTACTACAAGGCGCCCGGCAGCGGGCGCTTCTCCGCCGCGGCCATGTGGCAGAAGATGGATGCCATCACATGTGAGTGCGCACGTGCACGCGCGAAGAAGTGATGCAATTTGGGAGGGTCATAAAACTGGGCTGGTAAAAAGTGGATGAGCAATTGTACGCATGCATGCTCGCATAGGGAGAGGCGCGGGCGTGGCGAAGCTATGTGGGTGTCGCGCCCATGGGCACGCGCGCATTCCTGCGCCTCGACTTGCCAGTAGCAGCCGGGGGCTCAAAGCTCCAAAACGCCCGCCGCACAAGCGGCCGTTGCTGCCGGCACCGCTCCGCCTGATCAACATCTCTTCTTCCTGCGCCGTTCCGCCCCTTTGCACACATGCGCCTGTCTCCCCAAACGCCCGCTCGACCAGACAACTGTGCGGGCATCAACAACGCATGCCTGATGGCGGACCTGAAGGCAGACAGGGTCGGTAGCGCCTGCCAGACGCTGGCGGATGGGGAGAAGTGCCAGGGCGACGCCCAGTGCTCCGCCGGCCTCTGCGGAGGTGCGCGGCCACCACCGCCACCGCAGCCGCCGCGCCCCGCCGCACATCCGGGAGCCACGGGGCTTGCGGGTAGGTCGGCACCGGCCCGACGCACGCACGCGCCAGCGCGAGCAATATAGCAGTGTGCAGACGGCGTGCTGCTGCAAATGCGCACGCCTCTGAGCAACACCCAACAATCCATACGACCCCCCACCATCCGAACGCGCATCCATTTGCAGGCCTGGCAGCCCTCAAGCTCGAGCAGGCCCCGGTGGTCGAGGCCAAACAGCAGGGAATGATAAAGGAGGACAAGAGCAGCGCCACGGGCGCCACGCCGGACGCGTCCGCCGCGGCCGCCAGCATCGCCGCGCAGGGGCCGCCGGCGCCCAAGGCCGTGGTTAACGGCTGGGGCGAATTCCAGGCGACGGTCAACGCCGACGCGCCCCTGATGCGGGTGCCCGAGACGTTCCTGGCCACTAGCCACGAGTGGGACCGCATCACCGACTACGCCGACAACATCGACGCGTTTGCAGAGATCTTCAAAGTGTTTGGCCCCAGCCCAATCATGCGCATGGGCGGCGCCAGCCAGGACGCCATGACTGAGGTCCCCAAGCAGGAGATCTGGTGAGCGGTTGCATCTGGTGTCACCCGTGCTTGTCTTGTGAGGTGTCACGCGCTTTCGTGATACATTTTATACTATGTGGCACGGGACTCTGTGCAAAACAGGGCTTTGCACAATTCACAAGATTATGGTGGGTTCACTGTGGCCATTGCGCACGGCAGCTTTGCACTGACTTTCTTGGACACCTCAGCACTACTGGCCTGCACCCCACCCACGCCCAACACCCCGCCAGGGAGGCCTTGGCCAAGATCCAGAAGGCCTTCAACGCGCGCTTCTTGATCGGCCTGCCCTTGTGGCGTCCGGACAGCGTGGTGATGGCGCGCAAGATGATGCAGTTGGCGGAGCAGTACCTCCCCAAGGAGTCGCTGATGGGCTTTGAGCTCGGGAACGAGGTGTGTGAGCAGTGTGTGTGTGTGTGTTTGTGTGTGTGTGTGTGTGTGTTTGTGTGTGTGTGTGTGTGTGTGTGTGTGTGTGTGTGTGTGTGTGCGCGTGCACGCGCGCTTGTATTTGCTTTTGATCAAGACCTCATGCTTTGTTGCTGCGTGCTTGAGGAATAGGGGTGCACAAAAGCGGAAATGGTTGTCCATGTGGTTGATCTAGCTTAGCTGTGGTGATGGTGGTGAAGGCGGGAAATTACTGCCTGACCAGGTGGCGCTCTGACAGTTGCCACCAGCTAAAATTCACACGTCACCCCATGTTGCTCACTACACCTTTTCCTCCGTGTCCCCGCCGCGCAGCCCGAGTTCTGGCCGACCAGCGTCGGCGGCTACGAGTCCGCAGCCAACTCCAGCTTTGTGCCCGGCTTTGAGGCGTACGCCAACTACTTTTCCCGCACCGCGACGGCCCTGAACCCCTGCGGCCCCGGGCAGTCGCCCAAGCTGGCGGGGCCAGGATGGGGCAACGTCAACACGATCGACGCCGGGTGGATGGCGATGCAGGCCAAGGCGGCGGGGGCGCGCTGCTACATGCGCGAGCTCAGCGTGCACGTGAGCGGCGCGCCGGCGGACGATTTGTTGTTTTGCGCGTGTGCTGTACTGGCATGCATTGCATGCCGACTCGACCGCAGCGCTGACAACAGCGCCAACTTCAAGTTGCTTTGATGTTAGCTTCTCTACAATCCAGGCATCACTGCATGCGGCACGGGGGCCGATTTGAGTGCAGCTGTTGCGCCGGCAGACCCCAAATTGATGGCCGCCCCCCCCTTACCCCCTGCATCCTCGTCCTCCCCGGCACCCCGCGCAGTACTACCCCTACGTGAACAACGTCACCATCGACTCCCGCAGCCTGCTGTCCCAGGACCTCCAGAACTTTGGCATTGAGAAGTTCCAGTGGCTGCACGGCGTGGCCAAGGCCACCAACCTCAAGCTGCGCATCTCGGAGACCAACTCCCTGTGAGTCGCCGCCGCTGCTGATCGTCAGGAGGGGAGTGCATGTGGCACTTTTTTTCGGCGTTGCCGAGTGTTGGGTGAGAAGGGAATCAAACACGGCTGCATGGAGCATCCAATCACGCCCGCATTCTCCGGTTGCGTTTGCTGAAGCTCTGTCCTGCATCGACTGCAACCAACCTTGCCCCCCGCACCTTGCAATATGACCCCGCCAGCTATGGTGGCGGCCGCGCGGGCCTCAGCGACACCGTGGCCGGCACCATGTGGTGCGCCGACGCCCTCTTTGCCTTCGCCAACGCCGGGGCCACCGGCTTCCACTTCCACTGGGGCTTCGGCGGCCGCCCCTACTACGGCGGCCAGCCCAACACGGGGGTGCAGACCAACTTCTTCCGGGACTCCCTCAAGCCCTACCCCTCGGTGCACGCCCCATGGTACGGCTACCTGCTGTTCCGCACCGCCACCGCCGGCCTGGGCGGCGGCTTCAGCGACACGACGCTCGTCAACGTCAACACCAACGCCGGCAGCTGCGGCGCCAACGTCAAGGTGTGGGGCCTGCTGACCGACGAGGGCGGCGTGAGGGTGGCGCTGCTGAACAAGGACATGTACACGCCGTGCAACGTGGCGGTCACCCTGGACAGCATGTACTGCGGCAGTACGGCCGCGCTGCACCGCCTGATGCCAGGCAAGAAGGGGATGGACTCGAAGGACGGCATCACGTGGCGCGGGCAGACGTACGACAACGCGGCGAACGGGAAGCTGCAGGGCAGCGCCAAGAGTGAGAGCCTGAGGCCCGTCGCCGCCGCGGGCGGCAAGTGCAGCGTGACGGTGCCTATGCCCGTGGCCAGCGGCGCGGTGCTCGAGGTCGCGCGGGCGGCCAGCCGCTGAGCGCAGGATGGGTCCAGAGCCGGCGGCGCCAGCCGCATGCTGCTAGGCTGGAGGCAGCCTGTGTGATGGCTGGGGCCGTTTCTGCTAGCTAGGTTCTTGGAGACGGTCCACATGAGGGTTTTGCCTGCGGCCAGCGCATTCGTATACGCCAGCACCTAATGACATGGCGCAGGCCAGAGGTGTGAGGCCAGGTTGTCATGCGCGGATAGCTCCGGGCACTTTGTCCTATTTGGTTGCCACACAAATCGTTCGACTTCTTTCAAAGAGTGCTGATCACTGCTGCGCGAGGGCTTGGACACCAAATAGTCCAACGTGGCCCAATTGTGCGGCCTGCCTCCATCTTTCATAATCGTGCGGTCTATCTGGCCCTTCAAAAACTCTGTGTTCGGTCCGCGCAGCTGGCATCTCACTGCAGCAGTTGCAATTTGCCGGCGTGCATGCTTGCCCCACGCGCATGCATGTCGGTGTGCGCAGTCCGCCCTCCCTCACAGGGCCCACGCCGCCTTCTGCCGCGGCGCGAGCGCTTCTGCACTTTTTCTGTCGCAGCACAAAATCGCTATGGTGCCATCTGTGCCATTGACGTGTGTAAAGGCTGCTTTCTGCTCCTGCGCAAGCAACAATGGCAGATACCCTACAGGTTAGGGCAGCTGCTGGTCTTGGCGCAAGGCAATCACCTTCGCTGGCGCTTCCTGTGCTCCTGGTGCAACACGCTGGACCTCTCAACTCATCAACCTTCTGCTCCAGGGCAGTTTCAAAGTTGTCACTCTTCAATGAATGACCCCTCATTCCTGAAAGGGACCGTCATCTTTACAGGATCATCGATAGTAGACTTTCATACACGTGCATTCGCCGCTTTCGGTGCTTCAGCCGGCACTTTCGCATAGATCACCCTGTCCTTGCCCAGGTCTGTACTTAGCCATGTCAGACACCGGGAAAAAGCGAGGAAACAGGGGTGGAGGTGGTGGCGGACCCCAAAAGAAGAGCAAACCATGGAACACCTCGGTGAGCGCGATCCTCTGCAGGATCATGTATCGCATGTTGGGATCGATAAATGTGGTGAAGGACATGGACGCACAAACAGGTGTTCCAGAACCTCAAGGCCCGCAGCAAGCCTGTCCTGCGTACCAGCCCTTGCGGTATGGCGGCGGCGGCCGCTGACGACTGCTCTCAGGACACTGCTGCTCGCGCCGCCTGCGCAGCAACCCAAGGACCCATCGCAAAAGGCCATTCCTGCGAACACGTGGGGTATGCTGCTTACGTGCGAGGGAGGCAAGGACAAGCGAGCCGTGGATGAGGCGCGCTTGCTTTTTGAGGAGGTGGGCTAGCACCAAGCCACAGCCTGCAGCAGAAAGGCCAGCGTTTCGCACCCTGTCCTGTACATGAAATGCCGCACTCAATTGTGACCACGTCTCATGTTGGTGCTTATGAAATCTCGCATCTTATGCTTGCTGCGTGTGAGCTTGCTGGTGTTATGCCATTGATAGATGTTGCTGTTGCTGGAACTTGTTGCAAGCATCCTGTTGTCGATCCACATTCCCCTTTGGCCAGGCATACGCCCGCATGGGCAAGGAGTCGTACCTGAAAGCCGCCCCGCCTGCCGCCGATGTCAACGGCGCGGACGCCCCCGAAGGCGGCGGCGGCGGCGGCGGCAAGAGCGTGGACGCGCTGCTGGCTGCTGAGGTGGCGGAGCTCAAGGACTTTAAAAAGTTTGCGTTCAGGTGGCACGAGACTGGCGTCAACAACACCATATTCGTGGCCTTCCCTACCGGAGAGGGTGCGCAGGGACGGGCAGTGCAGGAAGGGCAGCCCAGGGCTCGGTGCAGGCACAGCAGTTGATGCCACTTCGGCAGGCACGCCGCGTTGCGCTTTGCGCACTTGCTTCGGGGTCATGGGAGCCGCCAATCACGCAGTGACGCACCCCCTTGCACATGCACATAACGACGTCTCCACCTCGCTTGCGCCGCTACCGCCGCCCCCGCGACGGCCTGCAGGCGCGCCGCGGCCGTCTGAGGTCGCCGCCAACGTGGCCGAGCACGTCAAGGCCACGAAGCAGCTGCCCGCCAGGTTCCTGCTGAAGCTGCTGCCCGTCGAGGCCACCTGCTTCGTGGGCATAGACGAGATAAAGAAGTTGGCCGAGGATTTTGTGCCCAAGCACTTCCCTACGGGTGAGACACGGGCTGGGTTTGCAGGGGTGGGTGTGAGCAAGCAGGGCCCCCAGCCGTTGTACCCACGCAGGGGTCTTGTGAGTTCTATATCTGCGCTTCACTTGCTCCTCCTCGCCCCCTGTTCCAGCCCGTCACCAGGCCCAAGCCCACCCACGTGCACCATCCCCCGATTGTGCGCCCCCCC